GGCTCAGTGGATAGTGCACCAGCCTGCGGATGGAAGGGGCCCAGGTTCGATTCCGGCCAAGGGCGCATGCCTCAGCTGCAAGCTCAATCCCCAGTAGGGGGCGTGCAGGAGGCAGCCCATCAGTGATTCTCTCTCAACATTGATGTTTCTATCTCTTTCTTCCTCTCCCTTCCTCTCTAAAACCAATAAAAACGTATTTAAAAATAAAATAAAAAGGACCCCTTTTTAATCTGCATTCGTGCTTGACAAGGGCCTTGCTACCCAGAGCTGGACGCTCCCTGGCTGATGACTAACATGAGATGCTGAGAGCGTGAGTGCTCAGAGGCGGATGCTCAGACCCAGGAGAACTGCGGGGACGGCGGATGCACCCCTCCCCCTGCCTGCCATGTCACGTGACCCCGCCTTCTCCAGGGCCCTGGCCCTCCCGCTGGCCCTCAGTTACCCACTGGACACACTCCCGCCGCCAGGCAACCAGCACTGAGCAAAGACGAAGCTCCCGTGAAGCAGGAACCCCGCCCGCCCGCCTGGGGCCGAGGGCGTGCGCTCTGCCAGCTAACCCTGCCCTCCTCTGACATCGACTCAGGGCACCTCTCCTAGTGCCGCCTCCCTGACCCCAGGGCAGCGAGGCCCTTCAGGGGGCGTGGGCTCTGGCTCCCGGGAGGGGCCGACCTGGATCTGCCCCGGGCCCACGGGGACCACCGGGCAGGCACCGTGGCGGGAAAGGCCTGGGGGGAGGGGGGCAGCCGTCAGCGTGCGGAGAAGTCTGAAAGCCTGAGCTGGTGAGACGACAGGGATGCAGCGGAACAAAAGTGGTTTTGAAATAAAGAACATGAGGAACAAGCACCTAAACTTTAAAGAATTGCTTCAGTTGAGAAAGGGCAATTTTTAAAGTCTTTTTAAAATTTTATCTTTTTAAATTTTTTGTTGATTTCAGAGAGGAAGGGAGAGGGAGAGATAGAAACATCAATGAGAGAGAATCACTGATCGGCTGCCTCCCGCACACCCCCCACTGGGGGGGGGGGTGAGAACGGAGCCCACAACCCGGGCATGTGCCTTGGCCGGAATCGAACCCGGGACCATTTGGTCCACAGGCCGACACCCTATCCACTGAGCCAAACCTGCTAGGGCAAGACTATTTAAAAAAAAAAAAAATGTATTTCTTTATTGATTTCAGAGAGGAAAGGAGAGGGAGAGAGAGAAACATCAGTGAGGAGAGAGAATCACGGATCGGCTGCCTCCTGCACGCCCCCCACTGGGGATCGGGCCCACCACCTGGGCATGTGCCCTTGACCAAAACTGAACCCAAGACTCTTCAGTCCGCAGGCCGACGCTCTAACCACTGCGCCACACCGGCCAGGACTAGAAAAGGGCAATTTTAAAAAACGTACGAACTGCCACTCAGAGCCAGGGCCAGGGCCGTTCGCGGACCGCACGCTCGGGGGCAGCGGCCACTCACGTGAAGTCCTGGAGGAGCACGCGGGCGGGGAAGAAGGGCACCTCTACGTGGCCCCGCGTGGCCCGCCAGTCCAGGATGTTCAGCACGTCCTCCCTCTTCAGCAGGAAGCCGTCGCAGTTCCTCACGGCCGCTTCCAGCAGGACCCGCACGGAGTACGGCAGGGCGTCTGGTTCGAGAGACAACGTTCAGGACAGTCACAACGAGGCATTACAAGGACTCGATTCACACAGAGTTAAAGGCACAGGGGCACTGCCCGGCGGGCACGGCTCAGTGGCTGAGGGGCTTCCCATGCACCACGAGGTCACAGTTCAATTCCCGGGCAGGGCACAGGCCTGGGCTGCGGCTGGGCCACCAGTAGGGGGCGTGCAGGAGGCAGCCCGTTGATATTTCTCATTGATGTTTCCATCTCCCTCTCCCCTCTGCTCTCTAAAATCAATAAAAACTTTTTATTGCACCAAACCAGAGAGGGTCAGACCTGCATCACCACCATTTGTCCACCATCCAGAACTGAAATGTCATTGCTGACAGGTACACATAAGGAACTGTTTGACATTGAAATTGGGTCTCAAAAGAACTGTTAGTCCAGAAAGAAACTCACTACAGACTGATTCATTTGCCTCTCAGCATCAAGATTATGGCTCGTCTCATTTTCGGTTCTTATAAGGGTATTTCCAGTAGGACACGATCTCACTCATCTGGGGGAAATGGTGAACAACATAGACAGACGAACAAGAACAGAAAAAGAGACAAGGAGCCGTGGGTCAGACTGTCGGACCTCAGAGGGAGGGTGGGGATAAAAAGGGAGAGATCCACCAAAGGACTTGTGTGCACACACATGAGCCTAACCAGTGGTCAGGGACAATAGGGGGGTGGGGGCATGAGGGGGGAGGGTGGGGGATTGGAATGGAATATAACGTTGATACCTTAATCAATAAAGAAATTACAAATAAAAAAAGATACAGACGCATAGTTTCTCGATTTACAAGTATTTCGTTCTATAATAGTAAACACAGAACAAAGCGCATCCTGTGAGCGCCAGGACCTGTCCCTCGGACGCCCCACGTGTAAGCAGGCCCCAAAGAGCAGATTCGGGACTTCACACGCGCGTGCCGACGTGGGCACGTGAGACTGGTGCGCGTACACGCACGTCCGGGGCAGACAGAGGGAAACGGAAAACCACAGAAAATGGGAATTCAGTACAACAACGAAGACAGCCCTTTAAGACAAACGTGGGTTCCACCGTGTAAAAGTCTAATAGGTTTACGACATTTCCGTCAAAAACGGCTCAAGTTTCACAGTGAATCAGGGTCACAGCTCAGTCAATTCACTTCCTGAAAAGCATCTTTCGATCTCGATGACTGGGGTTGATCAGGTTCCACATTAACGTTTTCTTTCACCCATGAGGCTGCCCCGGGGCGGGCGAGCGGGGGGGGGGGGGGGGGGGGGATGTGACCACACGAGGGGGGACACAGCGGTCTGAGGGCAGGGAGCCCCTGAGGCGTGGCCGCCAGGACAGACTCGCGGGAAAGCAGCGCTCACAGCCCACACCACCTTTTCGGCGAGAAAGGGAGTCTACCAAGCCCACGTACGGTAAATGTGTTGCTGTCTGATATGAGAGGGACAGGGGAGGGACAGGCTGGAAATCTCAGCATCTATTCCGCGCTGTCTGGCTGCACCAGGTCCCCGGCAGGACACGCACGAAGCACACACACGGCATTGACACGGAAGCTGTAATTCTGACACTGTCACCTTCACGGTTGTGAGAGGCGAAGGGCAGCTGACGCGGGTAGGTTGTGTGTCCATCACCGCCGTTTCCCACGGGCACTGCTGCCCTGCGTGCACGAGGAGGATAAAGTGGTCTGCGGCCAGGCCTGGGACCAGACTGTCAGTGTGAGGACGGCAAGCACAGCCCGAGGGCCCCCTGGACACAGAACACGGCCACTCCAGTGGAATCGTGGCTACAAACTTACAATTTATCTTTCTTTCTCAAAAACACGTGCTTCCTCGCTGTTCAGTGAAAATGCCTGCAACAAGGACAGTCCACTCGTCATCACCCTGATGCCCAGCGCTGCTCCGACAGCTCCCTCTGGGGCCCCCGCCTCAGAGCCAGCGGGGCATCGGAGACCGATGACGGCCACCCCCCGAACCCCTGCACTGACCCTGGAAGCGGCCGGAGCACCAGCTCCTGAAGCTGACAGCGGGGGCGGCCCTTCATCCCGTCTCCCCGGGTCCAGCCATGCACAGCGGAGAGCAAGTTCCCGTCGAGAAGGCCACAGCTACTGGTGCAGAAGGATGACAGAGACCTCACAAGGCCGGGGGGAGACCTGGACCAGACCCCAGGGAAGGGGGATGGATGGGGCAGGGCTGGAACCAGCAGGTGACCTGTGAACAGGCCTCCAAAGGCGGGGCCAGGCTGCTGACACCCACCCACAGGGCATCCTGAAAGTGGGGTGCCGTGGACACCCCACGCCTCTGATGGAGCAGGAAGCACACCCAGCCACTATGCAGCGTTCCTGCAACAAGCAGGCCTGAGCGGATCACACGCCAGCTCTACCAGCCACCAGAAGCACAGGGACAGGGCGGCGCCCCCAGGCCACCCCCACCGCCAGCACCCAGGCCACACAGCCCCCGTCTCCGCCAGCCCCACGCCCGGCACCCTCCCCTCTCCCGAGGACGGTCCCCTCACCCGCAGGGTCACGGGCCAGGACCCCCCTGGACGGAGCACCCAACCTCGGAGGGGCTGTGTGTTCCGATCCGTACGCCCCTGGTGAAGGCTGACTTATAAGCTGGGCAATCTCAGAGGGGACTCGTTCTAACCGCAGCTCAGCAGCCTGGACGTGCAGCGGCTCTCTGAAGTCCAGAACGTTCGCTTTTCCCGTAAAGGAAGACCTTGAGGCTTCTCTGGCGTGTCTGCATCGCCAGCACCTCCCTTCCCCTCCCCCAGCTTTGGGACTAGGATAGAAGGTGACGGCGACACCAGCGGCGAGACACTCTGTCGATGGCCTGGACGGCCGCGCAGCGGCGAGCGGACACCCCCCACCACTCCGCCCAGCGCGCAGCCTGAACCCCGGGACTGGGCGGGACCCAGGGGGACTGCTGTCCTGTCAGTCAGTGATGGCTGATGTTAAGCTTGCCTGCTGGAGTCTGTGACCGGCCGCGCCTTCTAAGGCAGGCCGTCCTTGCACTGCCACCCGTGTGCCCATCACTAACCACTGCGCTTCCTCGGCACAGGATGCTGCCTGAGCCACGGGCACGTCCCACCTGGAGCACCCACCACTGCTGGCCGCCTGGGCTGACCGGGGCTGGGAGAGAACTGGCTGGATACCACCCCCCCCCCCCCCCCGGAATCTCTGGGATCCTGAGAATCCGGAAAGCGGATCCTGTAACGACAGATAACAGACAAGCCGGTGATGGGAAGCTGGAGCAGGAGGAGGGCGGCATCGCACTTCAGCAGAGGGAGAGCCCGCAGGTGCCGGGCCCAGAGGCTGTGCCGCCGCCCGGGGAGGGGGTGAATCAGGTCCAGCCGGCCCCCAGGGTGCAGGCCCGGCGCATGCAGACCAGAGGCTGCTGCTGAGGTTGGCAGCCGCGCCGCCCAGGGCAGTCACAGCCGCCGGGCTGATGGCCGGTTTCCTTGCTCTGGGATGCACTGTGGCATTTAGTTGTGGAATTTCTCCAGGAAGCGCTCACGAGGCCATTCCACACCGCCGCCTGCAGCTCCCCAGGGCGGCTCCGGTGTGAGATGCCGTCCCCGTGGGCATGGCCTCTGCCCGGACAGGAGACTTCCCCACAGAGGCTCCGCCAGGCTCCTTCACGGAGACGGGGATGGCCCGGCCCCAGAGCCGACCTCGCAGGAGGAACGCAGTCCCTGGGCAATGAGCACAGCAGCTGGTCCCGCCCCGCCTGGAGTGTGGTCCTGAGGGGCAGCTGGACTGTAAGTAGAAGGCAGGCTCTAGCCGGTGTTGCTCAGTGGATAGAGCGTCGGCCTGCGGGCTCAAGGGTCCCAGGTTCAATTCCGGTCAAGGGCATGTGCCTCGGTTGTGGGCACATCCCCAGTGGAGGGCATGCAAGAGGCAGCTGATCAATGATTCTCTCTCATCGATGTTTCTAACTCTCTATCCCTTTCTCTTCCTCTCTGTAAAAAAAATCAATAAAAATTAAAAATAAATAAAAGTAGAAGGCAGAGTCCAAGGCCAAACTGCTCACAGAAGGTGTGTGACTACAGGCCAATTCCTCGGCTCCTGGACGCAATGCCCCCTCGCCACGAAGTGGACACAAGACCGCCCACACGCTCTGTGGAAACCCCTGTGGACAGACCAACCTCAGGAGCTGCTCAAGGCCAGGGGCCTGCAGAGAACGTACTGGAGGAGCCCTGGCTGGTGGCTCAGTGGTTAGAGCCAAGTCACGCAACCAGGGGTCTCGAGTTCCACTGCTGGTCAAGGTTCCATTCCGGGGTTGCAGGTTCGATCCCCAACCCAAGTCGGAGCATGGAAGGGGGGCAACCAATCAATCGATGGGTTTCTCTCACATCAATGTTTCTCTCTCTCTCTCTCTTCCCCTCCCTTCTTCTATCTCCAACAAACATCAGTGGATTTCCAGCTCCGAACCAGCCATTCTCATCTGTTGCCCAGAGAGCGCCGAAGAACCAGAAGAGCAGGGTCCCGTTCAGGGCCCTCCTTTCACTCGCGGGCAGACAGGAGGCAACAAGGGCCTTCATTGCCGGTGAAGTGGTGAAGGTGCCGACAGCGGCCTGTGCTCCCAGGGCCGGCCCCCTGCTCCATGGAGCGCGTCCCCCGTGTCCACACCTCCGCGGCAGGCCCGGAAGCAGCCTGGGCCCTGGGAGGCCCACAACCAATACCCGTGAGAAAGCACACGGGAGCAGGGGTCCCTCACGCAGGGGCCTGCCATCAGCACAGACAGACCGGAAAGGCGTCCTGAGCAGCCAGGGGGCTGGGCGGCCACGGGGCTGGGCGGCCAGGGGGCTGGGCGGCCAGGGGGCTGGGCGGCCACGGGGCTGAGCGGCTGTGGGGGCCGAGCGGCTGTGGGGGCCGAGCGGCCGCAGGGCCATGTGCAAACTCAGAGGCAGAGGCCTGTCTGCGGTGGAGCAGAGGGAGCAGAGGGGTGGGAACCTGAAACCTAGAGAAAACAGCTTCTCAATCCATGCTTCCCCGGCCAGGGAGCTGTGCCCCACAATGCACCTCCTCCCTAGACCCAGCGGGCGTCTGCCTTCACCACCAAAGGCCTAACCTGGAGGGGAAACGGCCAGCAGAAGCAGAGGTGCCAGCAGCCCTGGGACGCAGTGGGAGGGTGGGAGTGCGTGGTGGTGCGCGGAGCATCGGCAGGGCAGGCTGTCCTGGCCGAGGCGGGACTGTGTGCCAGCACCCCGGCCAACGGCCTCTCCGGGCCCACGGGGGACAAGGCCAGGGGAGCCGGCCTCGCACCATGTCCCGGCCCAGCCACAGCAGGTGACACGTGGGGACAAGTCCTGAGGTTCTTGCTGAACGGGCTGTGGCTACACGGGGGCTTCCCACAAGGAGCCAGGGCTGGGGGGCAGACTGGAGAGAGCGTCAGAGAACGGGGACAGGAGCCGGCAGCCTGTGCCGAGCGGAGCAGACTCCGGGGGTTCCCAGAGGCTGGGCTGGTCCTCCTGACCTGGGGTGTCAGCAAACGGCACTTCTGCCTTGAGTGCTGAGCTAAGTGAGTTTTTGTTCCTTATAGTCAAGAGTCAAAACTGGAACAGAGATGCCAAAACCGGTTTGGCTCAGTGGATAGAGCATCAGTCTGCGGACTGAAGGGTCCCAGGTTCGATTTTGGTCAAGGGCATGTACATTGGTTGTGGGCACATCCCTGGTAGGGGGTGTGCAAGAGGCAGCTGGTCGATGCTTCTCTCTCATCGACGTTTCTAGCTCCCTATCTCTCTCCCTTTCTATCTGTAAAAAAATCAATAAAATATATATTTTTTAAAAAAATAATTAATAAATAAATATATAAAAAAAGACTGAAACAGAGGATGTGCATTGAAAGTACAAAAAGAAAAGCATTTGTGGAGGGTGGAGGGAACACCACACTTTCAATCCAACCATCCTATCCTATATAACAAAAGAGAAAAATGTAAACTCACCGTACCTCTGCCTCACTCACCAGCCAATCAGGAGTGAGCATGCAAATTAACCTAACAAAGATGGCGGATTAATTTGCATACACAGGGGCCAGATAGTGGAGAGGCTTGGGGAACTTGCTCCAAGATGGAGAGCAGAGTGGGAGAGCTGGTGGCTTGGAGGACTTGGCAGAGCAAGAGGCCTTGGGACAGAGACAGGGCAGGAAGGGAAAACCAAGAATGCGGGGAGCACCAGGAATGCTGGGAATTATAGTTCTGGTGGCAGGTGGATCTCCTCCAGGGGTCCTCAAACTTTTTAAAGTGGGGGCCAGATCACGGTCCCTCAGAGAGCTGGAGGGCCGGACTATATGAACTACTAATTCCTACTGTAACACCTCGGCTGCGCTCACTGCCCAAAAAACCTGGCGGGCCGGATCAGACTCTTCTGCGGGCCGCATGTGGCCCGCGGGCCGCAGTTTTAAGACCCCTGTAGGACCTAGACTCTAAAGCAAAGTGAGTCTGGAGCAAGTGACTGTTGCGGTGGGGGACGGAGGGAAAACAAAGGTGAGAGACATAAGTGAAGTCAGAGTGCCTAGGAAAAATTAAAGGGAAGATATCCTAAAACTTCCAGGAAATCTCCACCAATGAAGCAAAGAGAGAGAGGAAAAAAAAAAGCCTCTATCATTCTGTGAGCACCAAACCAAACTGGGTTGGGGCTTCAGACAATTCGCTCACATGATTGCAAAGACAGAGAGAAACTCCCGATTGGCGAGGGCTCCCAGACTGGAGAGGGTGCAGGTCGGGCTGAGGGACTCACCCCCCTCCCCGGGCCCCTAGTTCTACATAAGCTTCTTTTAAAAAAAATATATTTAATTGATTTTTTTTACAGAGAGGAAGAGAGAGAGCGATAGAGTTAGAAACATCGATCAGCTGCCTCCTACACACTCCCCACTAGTGATGTGCCCACAACCAAGGTACATGCCCCCGACTGGAATCGAACCCGGGACCTTTCAGTCCGCAGACCGATGCTCTATCCACTGAGCCACACTGGTTTATATAATAAGCTTGCATCAAAACTCACACATCACACACGCACAGCAGTTTTCCTTATAAACAGAAAGCTGGCGGCGACTTCCAGTTTGGGGAAGCCAAGTCCTGCCTCTCTGGGGGACCAACCAGTCCTGCAGTCACAGAAAAACGAAGGGTGAGCGAGACCACGGAAACGAGGAGGGGCGCTGAAGGCTGCTGAGCAGCTGCTCCACGGTCACGGTCACGGTCACCGCACAGGCCAGACTCCTGTCCCCCATGCTCCCACCAGGCTGACTGCCCGGCGACCCGTCTGACATCAACCTAAGGCCCGCTCCTGCGGGAAGGAGCCGGGCTCTGACAATGGAGACGTATCTTCAAATTCAAAGATCTCCGACAAGGACCTTCCAGGACACTGGACTCTTCCCATCACGCGTGAGATAACACTGCTGGTGGCAATCTATTGTAGAACACGCAAGTCCCTCCATATCCACAGATAAAGCCTGAGCCGTGTGCCCCATGGTGCGAGCACGGAAGGGTCACGGGTTGGATTCCTGGTCAAGGGCACGTACCTGGGCTGCGGGTTTGCCCAGTCAATATGTCTGTCTCTCACATCGATGCTTCCCTCTCCCACACAAAAGCCATCTTCTTGATAAAATAACGCAAGAAGAAGAAAAAGACAAGGTAAAGATAAGCTCTCCCCGAAACTGATGTCAATATATTTGACATTCATCTTTTCAAGTAGTTTTTTACTAAAAAGTGTGACGATAGCCAGGACCGGTGTGGCTCAGTGGATAGAGCGTCGGCCTGCGGACTGAAGGGTCCCGGGTTCGATTCCAGTCAAGGGCAACCTTGGTTGCGGGCACATCCCCAGTAAGGGGTGTGCAAGAGGCAGCTGATCGATGATTCTCTCTCATCGATGTCTCTGACTCTCTATCCCTCTCTCTTCCTCTCTGTGAACAATCAATAAATAAAAAAATAAAAAAAGAAAAAGAATAAAAAAAGTGTGATGATAATAATCCCTCTTCCCAGCAGGTCTTCCCTTCATTCACTGGCCTGGGTGAGAAAGCCATTCCACTGTCACGAAAGTCAAGACTTCCATCCAGTACCCGGGGGTCAGCCAGGTTCACGATTCTGAAACCTCAGAGAAGGACTGGGCCCCGATCATGCGCCGGCAAAGTGCTGGTGCCGGGCCGGCAAACCAGAGCCAGTCCCGGAGCAAAACTCACGTCCGGGAGTCCTGCGGATTCCCATTCAAAGGATAGGTGACAAAGAATCACAGGCATTATTCACTAGAAGAATTAATATATAGGATGAATAGCTGTAGAATGTCACCAGCCAGGCTTTTTAAAACTGCATTAGTGGTTTACACGGGTTAAAAATAAATAAAAAAATCATTGGTTAACGTAGGTTTTAAATGAGAAGTTAAAGCATGGGCTTACCTCTTTCTCAGACAAAAGTGGTCCCAAAAGTTTTTTGTTTTTAAAAAAAAATAAATTTTATTGATTTTGTACAGAGAGGAAGGGAGAGAGATAGAGAGTTAGAAACATCGATGAGAGTCATCGATCAGTTGCCTCTTGCACACCCCCTACTGGGGATATGCCCGCAACCAAGGTACATGCCCTTGACCGGAATCGAACCTGGGTCCCTTCAGTCCCCAAGCCGATGCTCTATCCATTGAGCTAAACCGGTCCTGGCCCAAAAGTTTTTTTTAAAATATATTTTATTGATTTTTTACAGAGAGGAAGAGAGAGGGACAGAGTTAGAAACATCGATGAGAGAGAATCATCGACCAGTTGCCTCTTGCACGCCCCCTTCCGGGGATGTGCCCACAACCAAGGCACATGCCCTTGACCGGAATCGAACCCGGGACCTTTCAATCCGCAGGCTGACGCTCTATCCACTGAGCCAAACCGGTTTCGGCAAAAGTGGTCCCAAAAGTTTTAAAAACGTTAGAGCCGTGTGTAGTTGTACCTTTTACAACACGGTGGGAATAGATTTTCATTAAAAAAAAAAGAAAAGTATTTTTATTGATTTTCAGAGATAGAAACATCAATGATGAGAGAGAATCATTGAGCGGCTGCCTCCTGTATGCTCCCACAACCCAGGCACGTGCCCTTAGCTGGAACCGAACCTGGGACCCTGCAGTCTGCAGGCCGATGCTCTATCCACTGAGCCACACCGGCGAGAGCGACAAACGCATTTTTATTAGAAAGGAAAAGAGCCCCAGAAAATTAAAGCAACATTACCATACTTCGTGCCTCCAAGTTTGGGTACATTGAAGAACTTCTTGCGTGAACTGTCGTTTAATGTTTCAATAAGGTACTCAAAGGTGTTTCCTGAAAAAATAAAATAAAATAGATGTTAACTGGACACAATTACAAAGTATCTCACTCAGAGGCAAAACGCCTGGAAATCAACTTGACCCAACAGAATCTTCTGCAATGGTAACAAAGCTGTATTTAGTCCCTGTGCAATGAGCCACAGGTGGCTACTGAGCACTTGAAATGTGGCTACCAGCCACTGGTGAACTCAAACTTTTTATTTTAATTCATCTATGCTAATAAAAAGGTAATATGCTAATTACACCGGGAGATCTTCCAGATGTCCTTCTGGACAAAGCCAGGGCAGAGGCAGAGGCGATCAGGCCAGAAGGGGAGGGCGCCTGTTGGGGGCAAACAGGCCAGCAGGCAGAGTGGTTAGGGGCAATCAGCTGGGCAGGCAGGCAGATGAGCAGTTAGGAGCCAGCCTCCCAGATTGCAAGATGGATGTCCGACTGCCAGTTTAGGCCCGATCCCTGTGGGGTCCCAGACTGGAGAGGGTACAGGCTGAACTGAGGGACCCCCCCCCCTCATGAATTTTGTGCACCAGGCCTCTAGTTTAAGTATAAAAAGTCACATGCAGCTACTGTCCACTGTATTGGACAGTCCATCTCTCGACCCTGATTCTTTTTTTCTTTTTTTTAATATATTTTATTGATTTTTTTACAGAGAGGAAGGGAGAGAGATAGAGAGCTAGAAACATCGATGAGAGAGAAATATCGACCAGCTGCTTCTTGCACATCCCCTACCGGGGATGTGCCCGCAACAAATGTACATGCCCCTGACGGGAATCGAACCTGGGACCTTTCAGTCCGCAGACCCGATGCTCTACCACTGAGCCAAACCGGTTTCAGCTGATTCTTTTTTTTTAAGTATATTTTATTGATTTTTTACACAGAGGAAGAGAGGGACAGAGAGTCAGAAACATCGATGAAAGAGAAGCATCGATCAGCTGCCTCCTGCACATCCCCTACCAGGGATGTGCCCGCAACCAAGGTCCATGCCCTTGACCGGAATCGAACCTGGGACCTTTCAGTCTGCAGGCCGATGCTCTATCCACTGAACCAAACCAGTTTCGGCTCTCAACCCTGATTCTTATCAAGTAAAAACTGGTAACAGAATTAAGTGCTGAAATATGATAACAAAGAACACCTGGAAAGGGACAATGAGAGTGACTTCAATGATGTAGAGACATGTTTGGGGAAGACACGTCCTGAATATTTCATAAGTATAGGCAGCAACTTGAGAACGCCACAATTATGATACACGGATTGACTTTTCTTTAAAAAAAAAAAAAGGGGGGGGGGGGGTCCTAGCCGGTGTGGTTCAGTGGATAGAGCCTCCGCCTGCAGACTGAATTGACAGGTTGGATTCCAGTCAAGGGCACATGCCTGGCTTGCAGACTCGAGCCCACCCATGATTCTCTCTCATTGATGTTTCTCTCTCCCTCTTCCTACCTCTCTGAAATCAATAAAAGCGTATTAAAAATTAAAAAAAGGAATCAAAGGACAAGATTATGACAATGCATTCAACAACATGGACAAAACCGAAATCAAACCCAACCCAACCCAAGAAAGACCCCAACAGGCCTGGACCTCCCGGTAAAGGGGCCGATTCTCCTTAAAAAGAGGACGCGTTCTGCCGAAACCGGTTTGGCTCAGTGGATAGAGCGTCGGCTTGGGGACTGAAGGGACCCGGGTTCGATTCCGGTCAAGGGCATGTACCTTGGTTGTGGGCATATCCCTAGTGAGGGATGTTCAGGAGGCAGCTGATCGATGACTCTCTCTCATCGATGTTTCTAGCTATCTCTCCCCATTCCTCTCTGTTCAAAATCAATAAAACATATTAAAAAAAAAAAAAAAAAAAGGACGCGTTCTTCCGGGTTTTGCACGAATTGAGACTGAACCACGAAGGCTGGGGCCTCGGGGGCCCGCACGTCCTCGGGGAGGGGCGGGAGGCGGTCTTGAAGGCACAATGGACTCCCAGCCCCCATCCTCGGCCTGGCCGGGCCCTCGGTCCGAGGAGGAGACCAGCCCGAACCGCTGACAGCGCCGTCCGAACCTCACGGACCCGACGGAGCGGAGGTGCAGGCCCCACGCTGCAGTGCGCGGCCCGGGGGCCTGGCCCCCCGACGCCCGGCCTGGACCGCCTCCCACTCCGCTTCCACGGAGACCCTGCCCCGGGCCTGCTGTGCGGCCAGCGGGGCCCCTAGCGGGACTCGGAGCCGGCGGGACCCGGGCGCGAGCGGCCCGGGGCGGAATGGGCCCTGCAGGGAGGCCTCGGGGAGCGACCGGAACCCCGAGGCCCGAGGCCCGCACGCTGGCCCCGCGACTCCAGGCGGAACACACAGGGACCCGGCGCCGGACCGGACCGGACCGGACCGCGCGCCCGCCCGCAGCGGCCCGGCCCCCGGCGGCGGCGAACGGCACTGACCTGCACTTGGGGCGTCCATCGCCGGAGACCATATTAGCCCGCGGGGCCGGGCCACGGGGAAGGAGGGGAGGCCGGGAGGGGAAGGGGAGAAGGCGGCCGAGCGGCCAGGAGGAAGGAAGGGCGCAGTCTCGTCCAAACACCGCGAGAGCAGCGGCCCCGGCCGGCCCGAATCCGCGCTCGCGAGATCTGCGGCGCAGTTCTCGCGATATGTCTCCGGATGCAGGAAACAAAGGAAGAGGCGGGGCGGGGCGGGGCGAGAGAGAGGCGGGGCGAGAGGGAGGCGTGTCCTCGCGCGAGCTGCAGCCGGGAGGCTCGGTCGCGGGCGCCGCCTGCGGGGCCGGTTTCGCGACCCGTTACGTAGCGCGGCCCCGCGCGGCCCCGCGTGGCCCGTTAGGGCCGCGAGCTCCGCCGGGTGCGCGGGGACGGGACGGAGCGGGAGTCCGCGACCTCTCCGGGGGCTGGATCCAGGCCCGGGTTCGCCTGTGCGGCGGGGCGTCCACCTGCGCGCCCACCGGAGCGCGCACCGTGCGCCGCTGCAGCCGGTGCGTCTCCGCCGCCTGCTCCCTCCGTCCTCCCGGCGGCGGCGGGGTCCCCGCGCTCCGCCTCCGCCCCTCCGCGGGCTCCCAGCTCCTCCCTCCGCCTTATCTCCCGCTGGCAGCTGCCCCTGCGGTGCCCGTGGGCCGCGGCCACCCTCCCCTCCCCGCACACACCCGCCTCCCTCCACCCGCGTCCTCCCTCTTGCTCTGTCCCTTGTTTATTTATTTAAAAAATATTTTTAATATATTTTTAGAATATATTTTATTGATTTTTCATAGAGAAGAAGAGAGGGATAGAGAGAAACATCGATTAGAGAGAAACACCCATCAGCTGCCTCCTGCACCCCCCGCCCCCACTGGGAATGTTCCCACAACCAATGTGCATGCCCTTGACCGGAATCGGACCCAGGACCCTTCAGTCCACAGGCCAACGCTCTATCCACTGAGCCACACCAGTTTCGGCAAAATACATTTTTTTAAATATATTTTATTGATTTTTTACAGAGAGGAAGAGAGAGGGATAGAGAGCTAGAAACGTTGATGACAAACATCAACCAGCTGCCTCTTGCACACCCCCTATTGGGGATGTGCCCGAAACCCAGGTACATGCCCTTGACCAGAATTGAACCTGGGACCTTTCAGTCTGCAGACCAACGCTGTACCACTGAGCCAAACCGGTTTCGGCTCGGCAAAATACATTTTTATTGATTTCAGAGAGGAAGGGAGAGGGAGAGGGAAATAGAAACATCAATGGTGAGAGAGAATCATGGATCAGCCGCCTCCTGCACGCCCTAACCCCGAAATTGAACCCGTGACCTCTTGGTTCCTGGGTAGACGCTCAACCGCTGAGCTACACCTGGCTGGGCTTTTAAATATTTATTTCTGATTTCAGAGAGGAAGAGAGAAGGAAAGAGAGAGCGCGGTGGAGCATCCACCTAGGAACCATGAGGTCAGGGTTCGATTCCTGATCAGGGCACATGACCTTGTGGTGGGCTCGATCCCCCCGTAGGAGGCGTGCAGAAGGCAGCTGATGCAAGATGCTCGCTCATCACGGATGCTCCTCTCTCCCCCCCCCCCCCCCTCTCTCCCTTCCTCTCTGAAATCAATAAATATACATTTAAAAATAATAGCCGAAACCGGTTTGGCTCAGTGGATAGAGCGCCGGCCTATGGACTGAAAGGTCCCGGGTTCAATTCCGGTCAAGGGCATGTACCTTGGTTGCGGGCACATCCCCAGTGGGGCGTGTGCAAGAGGCAGCTGGTCGATGTCTCTCTTTCATTGATGTTTCTAACTCTCTGACCCTCTCCCTTCCTCTCTGTAAAAAAGCAATATAATATTTCTAAAAATAAATAAATAATCACCACCACCGCCATCCACCCGCAGCTCCCAGGCTCCCCAGCTTCTGAGGGCCTGAGGCACCAATGAAAGGGACACTGTTAAGTACAGTTTGCTAGATCGGTCACCAGGGGGCGTTTAGCGACAACGGGGGTCCTCGGTCAGAACTGGCTTGTATTTGCAGACTTTTTTCTCTTCTCATCCCAAGTGCCCCAGGCACCTTGACTCCCACCCCCAGCCCCCACCCCCAGCCCAGGAGCTGGGAGCGGACAGGTGGCCACTCCCCCTGATCCCACTTTTATTTAAAATATATTTTTATTCCCCTAACCAGTTTGGCTCAATGGATGGAGGAACGGAAGGGTCCCAGGTTCGATTCCGGTCAAGGGCATGGACCTTAGTTGCGGGCACATCCCCGGTAGGGGGTATGCAGGAGGCAGCTGGTCGATGTCTCTCTCTCATTGATGTCTCTAGCTCTCTCTCTCTCTCTCTCTCCCTTCCTCTCTGTAAAAATCAATAAAACATATTTAAAATAAAAGTCTTTTTGGGAAAAGAGCACATCACTGCTGATAGCACTATGAGACCCGGTCGGAAGTCCCCCTCCTCTCCGCTAAGGTGTGTGGTCAGGGAAGGAGGTTGTAAGTAAGGCCAGACCTGGAGGTGTGAGCCAACCCAAACCGCACTGAGAGGAGGCTGGGGCGGCGGGGGCAGGAAGCGGGGGATCCCTGGGGCTGAGGCGGGATCAAGTCCACCTGGATGGGGTGGGGAGGGAGTGGGGAGGGAGGGAGGGAGGGCGGGCGGCCTGGCTGTCAGACAAGTTGAAGGAAGATCCCCAGTCGCTCTGAATTTTGCTCCTACAAGCTGCGGGGGTGGGGTGGGGGTGGTGGGGTCCCCCACAAAAGGCCGGGCAAACAGTGAAGGGGACCCAGACAGAAAGAGCAGTCATAGTGGATAAAGTGGAAGAAGTAAGCCCTCGCTGGCCTGGCTCAGTGGATGGAGTGTCAGCCTGTGGACTGAAGGGTCCCGGGTTCGATTCCGGCCAGGGGCACATGGTGGAGTTATGGGCTCCATCGCCAGTGAGGGGCGTGCGGGAGGCAGCCGATCCACGATGCTATCTCATCGCGGATGTTTCTCTGTCTCTCTCTCCCTCTCTGACATCAATAAAGATGTATATCTAAAAATGGGAAGGAGGTTGAAACTGGTTTGGCTCAGTGGATGGAGCGTCGGTCTGCGGACTGAAGGGTCCCAGGTTCGATTCTGGTCAAAGGCATGGACCTTGGTTGCGGGCACATCCCCGGTAGGAGGTGTGCAAGAGGCAGCTGATCGATGTTTCTCTCTCATCGACGTTTCTAGCTTTCTATCCGTCTCTCCTCTCTGTAAAAAAATCAATAAAATATATTAAAAAAAAAAAAAAAAAAGTCCTGATGTTTGGAAAGAATGCAGGACAAGCCAGGGAATGGCGGGAGAGCGGGAAGGGAATAGACGGTTTTCGGCGGCCGTGCGGCTATGTAGCCAGGATAGGGGTTTTATATTATTTTTTGTTCATTGTATCATGTTAAGCTTGAATCATCACAAATAACTGTGGAGAACTGATTATCGAGAACTGCTTATCCAAGTTCGCATGGTTGATCAGTGGTTGGAATTCACTCAAATGAGAAATATGCCAAAGAATAAAATAATACTATACATAAATTTTTAAATATATTTGTAAATTGTACTTATGTTGAAATTTTATATATATATATATGTGTGTATATATATATGTGTGTGTGTGTATATATATATATATATATATATATATATATATATATATATATATATATATTACAATACTATTTTGGCGTTCTAAGAAAATTTTTGTGGCTCCATATAGACCAGATTTTTAATCAAGAACCCCACCCCCCACCCCCACCAATGTTAAAATCTGGTCTCCCGCCAAAACCGGTTGGCTCAGTGGATAGAGCGTCGGCCTGCGGACTGAAGGGTCCCGGGTTCGATTCCGGTCAAGGGCATGTACCTTGGTTGCAGGCACATCTCCAGTGGGGGGTGTGCAAGAGGCAGCTGGTCGATAACTCTCTCTCTCATCGATGTTTCTAGCTCTCTATCCCTCTCTCTTCTCTCTGTAAAAAATCAATTTTTAAAAAAAAGAATTAAAAAAAAAATCTGGTCACCTTAGACTCAGGCGAACTCTCCCATCTCAGGGCCCCTGTGCAAAGAGGGGGTGCTGGCTCTGTGCCCTGAGCAGGAGCCGGGCAGGACACAGTCCCACAGGGTCTGAACCCCAGTCCCCCCCACCCCCCGCTCATCAGAGACAGCGAGCAGCACAGAGGGCACCCAGGCCTGAGCCTGGGGGGTGGGGAGGAGGGGGAGGAGGAGGAGGATGGGGGAGCTGGGGAGGAGAGGGAGGAGGAGGAGGATGGGGGGAGCTGGGGAGGAGAGGGAGGAGGAGGAGGATGGGGGGAGCTGGGGAGGAGGGGGAGGAGGGGGGAGCTGGGGAGGAGAGGGAGGAGGAGGAAGATGGGGGAGCTGGGGAGGAGGGGGAGGAGGAGGAGGATGGGGGGAGCTGG